AGGGACGGCTAGCGCAGATAGCCCTCGTGTAGCTTTGCTCGAAATTCAAAAACAAACAAACAAACTGTACGTCAACGCAAACAATACTGTATTTTTAATTAAATATCTTTATTTAGTTGGTACATAAGGTTACTTTCAAGGTTACTGGCGCTGTTAAGGTCAGTAAGTTCAAAAATATAGTATTAATCATGTTCGCTTTGTAATAGTTAGAATTACGTTATTTTGAATGTTACTATATTAATACGTTCGCTGCCATGTGCCCCACTGTTATGGACCAAGTGGCACACCAGTGAGTCACAGACAATTATATTTCAAAGCCAAATTTCGCTTGTGCCATACGAGTTTGGGACACTGTGACTACTTCTTGGCATCTCTTGAATGTTTAATTTTTTATACTTAATTTATTATGCAGGAGCGAACGTACTAAGAAGATTTTGGTTGCTTGCGTTGTGACTCCTAAAATTGCGTTATTTTGAATGCCACAATGTTAAAAAGAATATTGGTTGTTCGCGTTGTGATAGTTAAAATTACGCTATTTCAAATGTCACTACGTTAAAAAGAACTTTGGTTGCTTGCGTTGTGATTGTTGAAGTTACGTTATTTTGAGTGTCACAATGTTAAGAAGATTTGTTAAGTCAAAGTTACACGATGGACCACCATATTAGTTTTTTAACCATTTAACAGAAAAGAATGGTTCAATTGATTAATTATTTTATTGAAATTTCTATTTCATTGGCAGAATGTCACAAGTATGCTCTTCACAAATGTGGAAACATTTTTTTGAGGGTACTGAAGTTGCTTCATTTCCTAAGAGATCATCATTCGTACCAAGTTAAATGCTCTTTAAGACAGGTGAGAAATTGTGTTTAAAACCGTCGTATCTCTCAGATAAACTGTTAATAATTTATTGGTTGTGTAAATATTATTGTTCAGCTGTTCAGCAGCATATCGTATTTTGGTTCTGTCGGCTATAGGTATACAGCACCTTTCAAGTATGTTGTGTTACGACTATAAACATCACCGTTAAGTATGCTATATTATTTTATAATCTGTATTTTATGCCATGTAGGATATGGATATACCACGTTATTAGTCGTTATGTTTGAAATGGGTTTCGCCAGGATTTTCCTGGAGGGGTAGGGTCGTTTCTGCTCATGGCGCATATTTCTTAGATACATATATATATATAATAATATATATATACACACACTTTAAACTGCTGCGCGTGTTGTGACGAGAGCTCGATAACGAAAAAATATTAACAGTTTCGTTTTGAGTTCACTTAATGATTAAGTATATTTTATTACAAGTTACAGCGTTTACAGTAAGTAAAATTTGTATTTCGAACAGATACGACGTTTCGATAACTGGTGCGATCATCTATACAAAAAACTAACTTGTGTACTTTGAGAATGATAGCACCAGTCACGGAAACGTCGTACCTGTTCTAAATAAAAATCTTACTTACTGTAAAAGCTGTAACTTGTAATAAAATGAAAAGTTATGTTGAAACAAGTATTCATCAAGTTTGACAAATAAACTAGATACTAGTTACTCATTACTTAATTAACGTATATATGCACATCACAATTCTACACATTTAAATTCCTTTTTAACAGCTATTCTGCACCTTAAATAATATTAGGCTGACATGTTGTCATTTGGATCCTTCAATTTAAGCACCGTATGGTACTGTACTGAACTGGCTAGGAGTATATAGGTGTAAACGATCAACTACACCTTTTGAAGCGTATTTAGTTGGCCCAGCGTAATTGAAAATATGATGGATTTATCCTGGCCAGAACGTGAGAAACGGGACCGCTGGCCGTTCAGCATGGTTGAATACGGTATGATTGTGCTGAGGATATTGGTTTCGCTGTTAACCTCCAAGCAGATCTGCTTGTTCGTGTAATTAATATTTATTTATGGTCTAAACGTGGATTTGTTCGCCCCCCCCCCTCACTGGTGACGCTCCTGTCTAAGTAGATTACCCAATAAGTTTTAAATGGGGTTGGGTGGGTCACGAACTGTCTGGGCTGAGTAAACATATTTGTTTTTTGAGTTTGCGAGGTTTTCTGAGAGGTGCACATAGTTATGAACTATGACGAACTGCGCCAAGAAACATCAATAGTTTTCCATCCTTGTAGAGATAATGGGGGTCGCAACGACTAAACCCAGGACGCCTGGCAACTACGGCTGAGGAACACTGGTCTGAAAGCTCATAACACTAAAAGCCCGTTTTTGATATCTGCAGTGGACATACCATAGATAGCCCATTATGTAGGTTTGTTTTTAGCAATAAACGAATAGCAAAGGTGGAGGGAGTAATTTTTGATTGGTCAGGCAACTCAGAATAGAGTGCAAAGCACGCCAGTTCAAGAGGGGTCTGGGGGCATGTCCCCCAGAAAATTTTGAAAAAATAGGTGTTCTGAGGTTGAATTTTGTGCTAATTTTATTATATTTTATTAAAAGCACTTCTTTATAATTCACAAAAATAAGTGCTCATTGGCACTTATACTCACCATGGCTACAAGCAAACACAAATATGCATACTTGCAGGTTACACACGTAATTTATTATGCATTGTTATACTGATTCATACATATTACTACACTACTGTAAGTATATCTATTTACCTATAAACAATATTTGAAGTGCAAGTTAAAGTTTATAAAGCCCTACAGTTACTGTAACAAACTATTGGTCCGGCTGTTGCCCTGCTTCGGCGCACACGAATAGACAAACAACATATTGGCAAAGGTCAGTCAGGAAACCTTTGCAAGCATGACGTCTTCAAAGCAATAACTTCAGTTAGACGTCAGTATTATTTCTACATTTTTACTTATTGTTTTCATTTTCTATGTCCTTCAGTAAATCCTTTTAGCAATTTGTTCAAACGAATATATTAATTTGTTTGGTGTACGATTTGATCTTGAGGAAGGTTCAACCAAAATATTACATATATTAACTTGTGTTAATGTTCAAGATATTACAAGCAATTATGATTAAATTTTTAAATAATGAACATTATATTTACAACTTCTAATATAGTTTACGAATATTATATTACTATCAAAAAAGAGCCTATGTGTGGAAAACTTTAAACGATTGTTCGAAACTGAAAATTGTAACAAAATTGAAAATCAGCGTACATCTTTAAAACTTTATTTTTCCTTAATTATTTATGAAGTTTACATATACTGTTAGTATCTTACATAAATAATCATGATTGCTGTTGTATGTTTCAGGCCTTTTTCACCTGCATACAGAAATTACGCAAGAAACCGTGTTGGCATCACAAGCATCATATAAATTACAACTTACGGGTATTTAGAAAGAAACTCGCCGATAGTTTATGGTCTACGCGCTCTTGTGTTCTTTTGGTAACTAGTGAAATCAACCAGTGATTTACTAAATAATCTAAACTCTAAAGAGCTTTAAAATTCTCCCTACAGTCAGTGGCTGTGATAGAAAGCGCTGTATTTATGGCGGTTTTCTTCTGTTTTATACGTTGCAAATCAAAGTTTGCTTGTTTTGGTAAGATGTAAAAATCATAACGTCCAATTAGTAACTTTTTAGATTATTACTTTCAGTAAAAAAATATTTAAAGGCATTTTAAAATAAATTAATTAATTGAGCTTTTCAATACTTCAATATCAACATACTTGGGCAGAGTGGACTCGTGTTTTCAAGTAAGAAATTGTGTTTATTAGGCCTAGAGCAACCTAACGTCAAACTATTTTAACGGACTAACCATTACGCTATACAACTGGGAGTAATAGACAAAATGAACTAATATAACACAGTTTCTTGATATTTAAAATAATGCACTATTTGCGTCTAGGTAGAAAAACGTTAATAAAATAAACTTGTTTATATGTGTTAAAGATTATCTTGGATATAAAATCTTAATGAAGACACCAAGTAGTGATTTGTTTACAAGTCGACTGAGGAAGATAAAATTAACTTATTAAGGCTGAAAAATAAAACGCTAGTGTTTGTAATTTTATCGGGTATAGTGTGGTTATTAATCATAAAAGTATTTAAGAAAATATTTAACGTTTTTTTATTTTTATTGCAAAGCATTTTGTTAGACACAGTTAGTGGTGGTATTAAATTTGGGCTGTATAAACCTAGTATCGTAATAACTTCTAAGTGGTACGTATAGTTGTTGTTTCAATACGCATTTATTTTGTAAATTTTATAAAACCCAGAATTCAAGTATAATTCATATGAGTTGCATATCTGTAGTTCTGCTTGAATTTTATTACTCTTATTCAAACTATACTTCATCTATAATATAACATCAGTGACATTTTTATGTTTTAGTTACGTTGTTTGTATGCTGGTTTGGTTAAATAAAAATAGGGTTATTGTGAATTCTTAAATTAAATTTTAGAAATTTGCAACCAACATAATGAGCTTATAAAATATTTCCCTGAAGATTATTGGACTGGATATTATAGTGCGTCATAAACTTAGAAATAACACTCAGGACTTACACAAACATTTGTTGTGTTTTATATAAACAAAAGTTTAGTCTTAAATACACATAGTAAATTTGCCACAAAACTAACATTTGATTTCGTCTAACGAAATGAATTAATTTACAGACGCACATATAGTAATTTATAGTTACCGAAACAAAAAAGGAACACGTGCATCATTGTACACAAGTCTAAGCCATGTGTTGGCTGTGAATTGAAACTTACTACCGTAGGTAACTGTGGGTCGGTAGGATAGAAAACCCCGGACTAAAGTCGAGTTTCAAAGAAAATTACGTTATACACTGCATTTCACAAGAACAGAAAAAAGTGCAGAAAATGGTATTACCGCTCTGAAAGCTGGATAGGACAATGAACTCTGGCTAATAGTATTATACTTGGTGGCTTAGTTTAACATAAGATGTATTTGAAAAAAGTAAATTGCCGGCGAATTTTGTTCTTATCTTGTCCTGGAACATGAGCATGGAATAGAAAAACAAATTAAATGACGAAATATTTAGAATTGATATATTACCCAGTTCACTTACTTGTACACTAGTGTGTGCGGTTAAGCATGTATTGTTGTACATTTCAAGGGACTATATTTGTAAGTATTATTGCACAATGCAAGAGACACTATTTATACGTATTGTTGCACATTACAAGATACTATATAAGCATTGCTGCCCAATGGAAGAGACATTATATTTATAAATATTCCTGCAGAAAACAAGATACACTATATTTATCAGTATTGTTGCACAATACATGATAATATATTTATAAGTATTGTTGTACAATACAAAATACTTTATGAGTATTGTTCCACAAAGCAAGATACTATATTTATAAGTGTTGCTGCACAATACAAGATAATATATTTATAAGTATTGTTGTACAATACAAAATACTTTATGAGTATTGTTCCACAAAGCAAGATACTATATTTATAAGTGTTGCTGCACAATACAAGATAATATATTTATAAGTATTGTTGTACAATACAAAATACTTTATGAGTATTGTTCCACAAAGCAAGAGACTATATTTATAAGTGTTGCTGCACAATGCAGGAGACACTATATTTGTAAATGTTGCCGCACAGTGCAAAAGATACTATATTAATAAATATTGTACACAATATGTTATATTTATAAGTATTATTACACAATGGAAAAAACGCTATATTTAAAAGTATTGTTGCATAATACAAAAGACTATATTGATAAGTATTGCTGCACAGTGCAAGCAACATTATATTTAGAAATATTGCTGCACAAAACAAAAGACACTGTACTTATACGCATTGTTGCACAATGAAGGAAAGACCATTTAAAGGTATTTCTACACAAAGTGGAAACTATGTTTAGAAGTGTTGCTGCACAATACAAGAGACACTATGTTTATAAGTATTGCTGCACAAAGCGAAAGGCACTATATATATGAGTATTATTGAACAATGTAATAGATACTATTTATAGGTATTGTTGCACAATACAAGATACACTATATTTATAAGTATTGTTCACAATAGAATATACACTATATTTATAAGTATTATTGCACAAAGCAAGAGACTATATTTGAAAGTATTGTTGCACAATGCAAGAAACACTATATTTATAAGCAATGTTGCACAACGCAAGATACTATATTTTTAAGTATCATATATATATATTGCGAACCGCGGTGTCTGTCCGAGGGTTCGTTTGTCACCCGTTTACGGCGACCGCTTCCCGCACTGCGTTTGAAAAGCTGCGCACGCATGCAAAGCTCAGATTCAGCTTTGAAATGACGGGATAACAGGCATGAATAATGTTGATGCCAAATTTTATTTCGCAAGCTGGATATTCTACACTAAAATTGTTAGGAATTAATCAAACTATGATTCACATTTCAAAATGTGACGTAACTTAAAGAATCAAAATGTAGATTTACCGTATGTTATTGTTTATATTTATAAACATTGCTGCATAAAGTAAGAGGCACTATATTTGAAAGTATTGTCTCACAATGCAAGAGACTATATTTATAGGTATTGTTGTATAAAGCAAAAAACATTCTATATTTGTAAATATTGTTGCAAAATAAGAAAAACATACTACATTTATAAGTACAATTTATTGTACAATGCAAATAACTATATTTATAATTATTGTTGCAAAATGCAAAAAACGCACTATATTTATAAGTATTATTGTACACTGTAAGAGATATAGTATGTTTATAAACTGAGGAATTGGTGTGTAATAAAGAAATTAAGATTAAAGAAATCCTCGGAAGGATGCCTATAAAGTAGGTAATATTGGCTAAAAGCAATTACCCGAGAGTAGAGAGTGTGTTGGAAAAACTTAAGTTTTTATAAATGGAAATACCTTACTGCCATCTAGTGGCCAATAATAATATACAATAAAAATAATTGAGCGAGTAGTTTCAAGTCAATGAATAATCATGTGCACAAACCTTCCAAGGTGAAGTCAAATGGGCCTATTATCTTTTTCTTCTTATTAAAAGACGTTGGAACGATAAAGTTATTTGGATGAAATTATGATTCGTATCATCTTATTTAATCACATTAAATATATTTTAGAATATAGTGTAAGTTCAATGAGAAAGTAAGTAACCAAAATTATCATGTACGATATGAATCCCAGACATTATTTATGATGTTACGCATTTTGTTTTTAAAGTTAAGGTTCATGAAATCAAATTGCCATCTTAAACAAGCCACATGGCTGACAATAAAATGCAAAGAAATAATAATAAACAACTCTAGTTACACAAACACTAAAGAGAGAGAAACTGACACATATTATGACAGGTGTCCATTCACAGCGAAAGGAAGCTTGCTGCTACACTAGATGGCGCTTGAGTATACTTTAGTGAGACACAAGTAAAGAAGCGTTTGTTTGTTGGTTGTTAAACACAAAGCTACACAATATACTATCTCTGATGTGGCTACCAAGGATATCGAAGCTCGGTTTTTAGCGTTATAAGCTCACAGACTTACCGTTGCGCCTCTGGAGGCAATATAAAGAACCATCCGCTAGTGACATCCTGCAGAATCAAACGTCGAGAGAGTTTTTTTTTATGCAATAATTATTCCCTTTTAAATTTACGGTTTGAGGATTTTGTCAACCGAAATCTACGAAGAGTATTAAAAATATTAAAGTAATCTACAAAGTTTCCAGTAGAAGCTTTTGTGGTCCACTTATAATGACTATGCAAGGAGAAGATAAAGTGTCAATTCTTTGTGTTTTCTATTTTTTTAAAGATGTGAGAAAGTTAGCAGAAGCAGAAATGATGATGATTGTTTTATTTATCTAATTTTCCCATTCAATTTTTTAATCTTTTTTTTTACGTAATAATAATAAAATTAGTTTGGCATTTGTTTATGCGAATGTATTTTGATCAAAAAAAAGCAGAAGCACGTAATATATGTGCTGCCATCTATTGGTTTGCAATGAAACTACTTTAATCATTACGTGCAACTGTGAATTATTAGCGCATAGTATTTACACAGAAAACCCCCTCTCCAGAATCTTCCGACTCCGTCTAATCGTTAAATCCCCTCCTGTCATAACATGGTCAGTTTCGCTGATATGAAATATCTGCTGAGTATTTCGTAGATCTCCGGAAGGTTCTTGTAAACAACAAAAACACGAACATATAAAAACTCAGACTATTTCAAAAATATACAGAGAATATTTTTAATGGTTTAGACGATGCTGTATTTCCAACAATCATCGCGCCAACGTATCGAAACCTGTACTGTGACAAACCTGAAATCTTTGTTAGTATTGCTCAAATGCTTAATATTAAATAGCATAAGCGAAAGTTCACATTACCAGAAAGTAATTATTAATAAAAAATAAACGAAATAAAAGCAACATCACAATTTTAACAGGTATCGCTCATAGCAGCATCGTTGGAGTAGTATTTTTTGAACATGTATTTCTGCCGCTGTTCTTAATTTTGAACAATTGACCAGGGTGTGGGGTTGGCAATCAGTCATCAGCACCCTACCACTAGCATTAACGCTTAGGGATTGACTGTCATTGTTATAACGCACACACAGATTACAGACGTGGAATATTTTGTGGTGTTGTACGGATTCGAATTCGGTTCGCTAACTCTAAAACTCGTATCTCTAACACAAAGTCAACTCTTTGACAATTTCTAATTCTATAATCTTAACTTTTAACTAGGTAAGTGTAAGAACTTCTGGGTAAAAGTAGAGAACAGTGTATAATAGCGACAAGATAACAGAGTTAATATTTATTCCCAAACCCAACAAAGTTTAAATTAGAGATTAAATTAAGCGATAGATGGCGCCAAACTACTTTGCATTTGTTGAATTTCGTGCAAAGTTACTCGAGGGCTATCTGCTCTTGCCATCCCTAATTTAGAAGTGATAGACTAGATGGAGTAACCAGTCATCACCACCCACGCCAATTCTTGATCTACTGTTTATTAACGAAAATTGGGATTTACTGTAACATTATAATGCCCCTTCTTCCCCTCACGGTTGAAAAGGCGAGTATGTTCAATGACGGCATTCGAACCCGCAACACGAAGATTGCGATTCGAGGACCCTAACTACGTAATGTTAAAAAAAATCCGAAATTTTAATCCATTTTCGTGCAATGATCCCAATTTATTTCATAAACAGCCGTAAAAAAATCTTAATTATTAGTTTAGCTTATGTTTTTATAGTAAACGTTATTGAACTGTGTACTGTTGTCTAATTATAATAAGACAGCATTTTTTATAATTATGTACATTTAAAGGCTGATTATATAACAGTTTTTTGATTCGTGTTATTCCTAATCTTTTTATACATGTACGTGTGTATAGGTGTAGAACAATTCAATA